GTCTGGGTGGTGGCAGGTATGTGTGGGAGAACCTGTAGTCGTTCGATGCAGATGAAACCAGGAATGGTCGGAGCTTTGCTACCTCTAGGCTGGAAAGGAGAAGACTGATGAAGGGGCCCTGCATGCTTTACCCACAAAGCAGTAAAGGGGCAGTGTGTCCTTTGCATCTTTCCCCTCAGTCGCCAGGGGACGGACCTTGTCTGGAAAGTGCAGGGTCTCAGAGGGCCTCAGCCTTCTTCTGCACTGCCATGACCTCACAGGGCCCTGCCCCAGCCCCTACCGGGCCCACGTGTGCACTGGCTGTCAGGACGCTTGTGTGAAGGGCCAGTGCTAGCTCTTCACGTCCTGCTGCTGGGAGGCCTGAGCAACAACTTCTTTCCTACACTGTCAGCCTCTGACTTTTGACGTTCCTTCTTAATGGTTTTGTGGTTAAAATTGGCTGCTCACACCTTCCCCCAAAACCCCTACCTGTATGGGGTCTTGTTATGGGGCTTCTGGTGGGCAGCACTTGGATGTTTTTCAGTACATGATGTTCCTTGGGGGCTCAGACAGCAAAGAATCTGCCTGCAATGCAGGAGACCCCGGTTCAGTCCCTGGGTTGGGACGATCCCCTGGAGAAAGGAATGGCTATCCACTCTAGTACACTTGCCTGGAGAATTCCATGGACAGAGGAGCCTAGCAGGCCACAATCCATAGGATCGAAAAGAGTCGGACACAAGTGAGTGACTAACACTTTCACTTTTGGGTTTCCTTAGTGGCTCAGATGGGAAAGAATCTGCCCACAATGTGGGAGACCTGGGTTTGATCCCTGGGTTGGGAAGATCCCCTGAAGAAGGGAGTGGCAACTCACTCCAGTATTCTTGCCTGGAGAATTCCATAGGCAGAAGAGCCTGACAGGCTACAGTCCATTGGGTTACAAAGAGTCATACACAACTGAAAGACTAACACATAGACACACATGATGTTTTTATAAAGCGGAACTGCGCCCCCTAAAACAAGGATTGGGAGGCCCGTGGTAGCCTGCTTCTACTGGTTCAAATTATGGTTCAAATTATAGAAGCAATAAATGCTTTAAAAAATACAAACATGGGAATTCTGATGGTCCACTGGCTAGGGTTCTGCCTTCTCACTGCCAAGGGTAAGGGTTCAATCCCTGGTAAAGGAACTAAGATCACACAAGCCGTGCAGTACGGCTCAAAATTAAACAGTTAAATGTCAATTTTATGATATGTATATTACAACTATTTACAAAAGTTAATATGCCACAAACCATGGAATTTAGATGGATGGTCTGTTATGGTATGTTGATTTTCTCTCATGTGTGTTAGTCACTTGGTAGGACAGTCTTATCTGACTCTGCCGCTCCATGGACCATAGCTCACTAGGCTCCTCTGTCCATGGGACTCCATGTTGAATTTTCTCTCAACACATAACCAGATGGAACTAGGCCTGCCCCTGATGCACAGGAAGCCCACCTGCGAACACTGGGTTGTGGCGGAGGGTGTAGGGTTCGGGCAGTTGCCCATCAGAACAGGCAGCTCACGTTCAAAAGATCCGAGCTCCTCAAGGCTTTCAGGGGAAGGTTTTAAAGACAGCGTGAGGAAGAACGTCATGGGTTTCATGATTACGTTGCACACAGTTCTCTGACTGGTTGATAGTGAGGTAACCGGGTGGGGTCACTGCAGGCAGCCTTATCAATTTTCAGGTTCCAGTTGGTCTGGGGACTGTGCTGGTGGTCAGCATGCAGTTAACTTCTTCCACCAGCAGGGGGTTTCGGTATCTGCAAAACCACTCCACGGCTATTGCTCAGGTTATTACTTCTGGCCTTTGTGTAGAAGTCCTTGCTTTGGTTTTATGGCTAAACCATTACTACTTTGTCTTGTGTGACTGCTTTTGTCTTTGTATTTTCTCACTTCTCAGATAATTTTGCTCACTGGAACTTGGGGAAGGCCTAGGAGGCTAAAGCTCTTCTACAGAGGTGGGGGACATCCCAGTGGGGGAGGGGGGTCTGTCCCCCTAGGAAGGCCCTACAGAGTCCTGTTTGATTTCAAATAAAGCTATTTTAAAAAACACACAGGAACCTCCTTGAAGGGGCTTCCACTGACCAAATTGAGGACAACTTGAGGATCAAGATAATGACAGTAAAGTATTATATTTCTTTGAATAAACTAGGAATACATGTGTCTTCTTTGATATAAATAGGTAAAGAGAAAGCTTTTTTCCCTACAATAAATGATAAAATTAGAAAACAGCCACTTGGCAACCATCATGGTAATAACTAATTCAGAGAAAAAAACAATACATGCAAAAACTAGGGCGCGAAATTTATTTGAGAAACAGTGTGTTCACACAGCCTCAAAGTATACCCCCATAAAATACTTATTAAATACCAAAAGAAAAAGAGTAACTTGAAAGGGAAGAAGCTTGGGCCACTCCACCTTAATCAAGTGATCAAGACAAGCCTCTCCAACAAACCAAAGCCATGCTACCCAATTAGACAGGAAGAAAAGAACCCAGCATCTCCTCCAGAACACTCCTGCCAGAAAGATACAACCTGAGTCTCGTCAGGAGGCAACCAGACACATGCAGACTGAGGAACGTGCTACACAGCAGCTGGCTGGGGGTCTGTGTCAAGGGCATGAAGAGTTGTTCCTGTCTGAAGGCCACAAGAGGTGACACACAGGTACTGGGGTAATCTGGGAATCCGACTGAGGTCTCTGGGTCAACGCTATATGGGGTTTCCTGTAACTTTGAAATCACTTCCAAAGACTTCGGATCTTTTAATTCATCTTAGGGATAGTTAAGGCTCCCCACTGGTGATTCTAAAGGAAATCAACCCTGAATATTCATTGGAAGGACTGATACTGAACCTGAAGCTCCAATACTTTGACCACCTGAAGCAGGGAGCCAACTCACTGGAAAATACCCTGATGCTGGGAAAGATTGAGGGCAGGAGAAGGGGGCGACAGAGGATGAGATGGTTAGATAGTAACACTGAGTCAGTGGACAGAAGTTTGAGCAAACTCCAGGAGATGGTGGAGAAGAGGGAAGCCTGGTGTGCTACAGTCCATGGAGTAACAGAGTCAGACATGACTTAGCCAGTGAACCTGGTGATTGCTGTAAGCACTTCCTTGAATCATTCAAAGCATGGGTCCTGAAGGGGCACATTTTTGTCTCAGTCAAAAGTACCCACCAGAGGGCATTATTTATCTAGATTATCCATGATATTTTAATTCCACATCTTGAGGAATTTTCAACTCTTTTGCCTAGGATCTGTGTGGTTGCCTTGGAGAGACAACACTTTCTTGGACTCGTCCACCCTCTTCCTCGGTTTCCAGGAGACTTTCAGGAAAACTGAGGTTGGGATTGAGGCTATGGAGTCTCTTCCTATTGGTCTAAGGCTCCTGCACCTTCTGACCTGCTGACTTAAGGGGCACACTGTTACCTGCAACTGGCTATCCTGGGCGCTACGGCCCCTTGAGGCTTTGTCCTAGCCCTTACTGTGAAACAAAAATAATATCCACCTATTAAGGGGCATGTAGCTGTGGAAAAGTAATGCACATAACAAATAACTCATGAGTCAGGTAACAAATGGGGGGAAACCCCTGCATGAGAAAAGAAAGGTCTCCAATTAGTGACCCAAGCTTCTACCTTAAGACAATAGAAAAAGTACAGCAAATTAAGCCTGAAGTAAGAAGAAAGGAAAAAGGCCAAAGTAGAAATCAATAAACTTGAAAAAGAAAACAATAAAAATAAATTAATCCAAAAGGCAGTTCTTTAAGATCAATAAAACAGACAAACTCCTGGCAAGACAAAAGGAGAAGGAAGACACGAATTACCAATATAAAGGATGAGAGAGGTGGCACCACGACAGAGTATACACACAGTAAAAGGATAAGGAAATATTACGAAAAACTTTATGACAATTAACAATTTAGATGACTGGACTAATTAAAAGACGCAAACTACCCAAATGTAACCCAAGAAGAAAAGGACAACTTGAATGGCCATATTTCTATTAAATGAATCGAGTTTGTAGTTAAAAAAACCTTCCCAGAAAGAAAATTTCAGGCTTCACTCAACATTTACAGAGAAGTAACACTAGGTTTAATTCCCAGGTGGCACAGTGGTAAAGAATCCGGTCTGCTAATGCAGGAGATGAAAGAGACATTGGTTCAATCCCTCGGTCAAGAAGATCCCCTGGAGAAGGAAACAGCAATTCACTCCATTATTCTTGCCTGGAAAATTCCATGGACAGAGGAGCCTGGCAGTCCACGGGGTCAACAAAGCATGGGATGCAATTGGGCGACTAGCACCTGCGCACGCAATGTTAGGTTGACAAACTCACGTAAAATTCATAAGGAAAGAATACTTTCTCCAATCCTCCTGAGGCCAGCATTACCCAACACGAGGCGAAGACATCAGGAGAAAAGAAAACTACAGACCAATATTCCTCATGGGCAGAGATGCAAAAATTCTAAACAAAACTTCATTAAATTGAATACACCATAAACAAAAACGAAAATATATATCGTGACCAAACGGAGATTATGTCAGGAATGCACTAGAAAGTCAGTCACTGTAAATGATCACACTTTTCTTCCAGAGAAAACAGATCTCTGCCAATCCCACGAAGGAAGAGAGCCAACGTTCGCTATGAGGGGGTGGGCAGGAGCCCCCAAAAGGCCGCTGTTAGTCCTCCAGCGACAGTCAAGATCTCCGCGAGCCCGCGCCGGCTTCCGGGAGGTGGCGGCTTCCAATCCCACAATCCCCCGGGCCTCGACATGTCCCCGCCTCTGCGCGCAGGTCCCACCCCTTGGGTAGAGTCATGGCCTCGGATTGGTTACTGCGGCTTCCGTTACCTGGTGGGCGGGGCCGCTGACCACCTGTAGATTCCCGACTTGGCTGAGGGTGCTTCCCGGAGCTCACAGACCTGCATCCGGGAGGACGGGGCGGACAGGGTTGCGTTAGGCGATGGCCTAGCTCCCGTAGGGTCGCCCATGTCGGAGACCAGCCCGAAGGCGGAGGCGGCGAAGTTGCTCCCTTTCCTGACGCTCGGGGAGCGGGCTGACCTGCAGGCGGCAGCGGCGCAGCATGTGCTGGCGCTGACTGGCTCGGGGCCCGGCCGCACGCTGCTGGCCGGCCAGGCGGCACTGCTGCGGGCGCTGGTCGAGCTGGCGGTGGCCCCTCCTCCCGCCCCAGCCCGAGACGCCGCTCGCGCGCTAGTCAACCTGGCTGCCGACCCCGGCCTACACAAGCCGCTGCTGGAGGCCGAGTCCGGACTGCCTGTCCGCCTGCTGGGCTGCGCGTTGGACCCACAGTGGCCCTGGGCCGAGGAGGCGGCCGCCGTGCTAGCTAACCTCAGCCGCGAGCCGGTGCCGTGCGCTGCGCTGATAGAGGCTCTGGCGGCCCCAGAACCCGGGGAGTCGGGCCTGGAGCGGCTGGTGCGCGCTCTGTGCACGCCAGGCTACAACGCCCGCGCGCCCTTGCACTACTTGGGACCAGTGCTCTCCAACCTCAGCCAACGTCCCGCGACCCGCGCTTTTCTGCTGGACCGCAACAGGTGAAGCTCCGGGCGCTGGCGGGGAGGGGTTGGAAGTGAGCAGGGACGGCACTGAGTGGCCCTTCCCTCCAGGTGCGTGGTCCAGCGGCTGCTGCCCCTTACCCAATACCCGGACTCCTCGGTGCGCAGGGGCGGGGTTGTGGGAACACTGCGAAACTGCTGCTTCGAACACCGTGAGTCGTGGTGGGGATGCTGCCTTATCGGGGAGTGGAGGGAATAGGCTGTTCTCTGGGGCCCCTCTGGACAGGCCTGCATTCCTGTTTCTCCCCAGGACATCATGAATGGTTGCTTGGGCCCGAGGTGGACATTCTCCCCTTCTTGCTACTGCCCCTGGCTGGACCTGAAGACTTCTCTGAGGAAGAGATGGAGCGTGAGTGGCGAGGGTCGAGCCTCAGGGTTGGTTTAATAGGAGGGGGGCGGCCGGTAGGGGAGAGGCAGGAGGTGTCCAGATCAGGGGCCTTCTGAAACCTTCCAGCAGGGAGTTGCTGAGCACAGATGAACCTTAAAATGGCAGGGTCCTGCCTAGTGGCCCAGGGGCCAGCATGGAGACCCACTGACTCACAAATTCACCCCTAGGGCTGCCTGTTGATCTGCAGTACCTGCCACCAGACAAGCAGCGAGAGCCTGACGCTGACATCCGCAAGATGCTAATTGAGACCATCATGCTGGTGAGCAGGGGTCCTGCTCCATTAATGCCACCCCTACACACACACACACATTAGCACACTGATGCCTGGGTACCCTCTGCCCTCTTCCAGCTGACAGCCACAGCACCTGGTCGGAAGCAGGTGAGGGACCAGGGAGCCTACTTGATCCTGCGAGAGCTGCACAGCTGGGAGCCTGAGCCTGATGTGCAGGTGACTTGTGAGAAACTCATCCAGGTGGGTGCAGGGTTGGGGGGGGGGGATGTCCAGGGTATGCCAACCAGCTCCTCACGTGCCTCCCCTGCTGGCAGGTACTTATTGGGGATGAGCCAGAGCGAGGCCTGGAGAACCTGCTGGAGGTGCAGGTGCCGGAGGAGGTTGAGCGGCAGCTGCAGCAGCAGGATCACCAGGAGCGGGAACAGCAGGAGCTGGAGCTGGGCCCAGGGCCACAAGCAGAGGGAGCCTCACCCACATGAGGCCCCTGAGGTCTGCCAGCATCTCCGGGCCCACTTCTGTTTGAAGTCCGTCCAGGCCTCCCAGACCAGGCCTGCCTGCTGTCCCCTGCTCTGAGAGTGTATCTGGCTGAGAAGTAGAGCTGCCCTTAAGCTCCAGGTCTTTGCTGAGGGTTGAGGGCACCTCCATGTGCCCTGTTGCTTCCAATAAGAATGCTGGCTGCTCAGAGGAGAACTGTTCAGCCAAGGCTGGTCCAGACCTCTGACTCGCTCAGGTGTCTCCAGGCAGAGGGCTGGCAGGGCTGGACAGAAAAACACTGCAGACCTGAGGGGCCAGCTGGAGCTTCCCAACGAGTCTCAGGGGTACTCTAGGGGTCTGGATGCTTGCAGTGCCCCTTGCTGCCAGTTCCACCCCAGTCCCTCCACCGTGGGGGCCCTCGGCTGGCCCTGCCTGAGACCTAGCCTCACAGGGCTGACCTGTTGAGAGTTTCACCAGCCAGAGCCTGTCAGGATCTCCCAGGGCTGCATCCCCTGGCCTGTCCTTGGGGCGCTTGCTGGTGCTGCCTCCTCTTCACCCTCAGCACTTTCCCTGTGCCTAGATCCAGCCCTCAGGCCTTTGAGAGCACTGCAAGTGCTGCTTCCCTGTCCTGGACTGACCTGATGCTCCCACCTTCCCTGTCTAGCTAGGCCTTCTCCCTGCTCAATTCCCCTGAGCCTCAGCCCCCCAGATCCCATGCCCACCAAGCTAATAAGCCTTGCCCTTGGCCCAAGTCTTCCCCTGGACCACGCTCTGCCCCTTTGGAGCCCCTTGGCTCCATGTGGTTCCTTCAAGTCCCATGTGGTAGCTTCAAGTCCACGGCCCAAAGCCCAGCAGGCTGTCCCTCACCCCACTGTATTTCCTTCCCGGGCCTCCCACCAAACCTAGTGCCATCTTCTGCCCCAAATCCCTGTTTCCCCGCCCTTCCAGGCTTCTCTCCACAGAGCACCCCCACCACCCCCAACCCCTGCCCAGTGTCCTCAGTCCTGGTACTACCTCCAGAGCTGGGGCCAGCTCTACTGGAGCTCAGATCAAAGCCAAGTTCTTCATGGGTATCAGGTGTATTCCTCTTGTGTGGTCCCCTCTTCATTCTTCCTCCCCCCAGTTAAATTAAAGCTCTGGCCTGAAGGTATGTGGACTGTTTTCCAGATGCCCCAGCATCCCTCTTCCTGCATTGAGAAGTCCACACCCTTGGCTCTAGAGAATAAATGCTTTATCTGGCCTCGCCCCTGCCCTCCTGCCCGCCCTCAGCTAACCAGGTAGTGCCCAGGCACGCTCCGGATGAAGCATAGCAACGGTGGATGCCTGGAGCGACCCACCCCGTGACCGGCCGTCTCCATGCTCCAGAGCTCAAACCTAGCAGAGTCTGCACCTTGTCTCAGGCAAACCCCTAGGGGCTCAGGCGCCAGACCAGAGACACTCTCATGAGAGGTGCCCTGTAGCTGGGGTCGCCACAGTTGCAGGAGCAACCTTGGGGGATCGGAGTTCGTGTTGGTCTCCACATTGTCCGGGGACGTTCGGAGCTGGGGCTTCTCTGGTTTTTCTGCAACGGATCACAGTGGGAGGGTCAGGAGGGGCACTGAGGAGCCTCCCACCTACCCACCCAGGTAGGCCTGCCACACCTGGTATAGTGCTGGGCGTGATGCAGAGAAGCGCATGTGCAGCGGGCAGCATCCAGTGGTGGGTGGCCACCTGCTGCAGGCCCAGGCGAGCTCGCGGGCGCAGCTGGAGCAAGCCTCGGATCAGGTCCTGGCACTCTGCGGGCGAGGACTCAAGGCTGCAGCCTCACGTGGGAGTGGCCCCCTCCCACCACCTCTCATGCCCCAAGCCCACGGCCCTCACAGCCAACGATACTGGCCACTTGGTGGGGTTGCCCCATGGAGTCTTCCCAAATGGCTAGAGGGTGTCTGTGTTTCGCACGTGGGCGGACAGGCAGAGAGGTGAAGCAGCCTGACCTAGGGCTAGTGCAGGGTTCAAGCTTAATGGGACCACCAACCCCAGTTCCCCTGTCACCACAGTCCATCTCCCAGTCTGGGCTGGGGAAGAGGCCAGGTCAGCATCACCCATGCCACGGCGCGTGTGGCCCTTCTCTGGACCTAGGTCTCTCTTGCTGCCCCCTCTCCAGGCAAGGCTAGGACTTGGGAGGGACACGTGGTGGAGGTGCTCACCTGGGGACAGGCCTGGCCGGAAGGCAGGGCCACAGCGCATCAGGTAGAGCATTCGGTGGGGCTGGCGCTCCTTGAAGGGCAGTTTCCCAGTCACCATGGCGTAGAGGATGACACCTCTGGGGGCATGGGCTTCTTAGGGTCCGCCCCTCCTCCCCTGCCCCCGCCCCTTCACCCCCCCAGGGTCCTGGAGCCCCTGGGGTGCTGCTCACAGGCTCCACAGGTCAGCCTGCTCCCCATTGTACTTCTTGCTCATGAGGATCTCTGGGGCTGTGTAGGCCATAGAGCCGCAGAAGGTGCTCAGCAATGTGTTCTTGAACCCGGACTGATGGGCAAAGCCAAAATCTGCAAGGGACACACAGGGAAGGTGGGGGCGAGTTGTTAGAGAGGGCTCCTGAGGGGGCTGTGGGTGACTGCAAGTATGGCTGTGGGCAACTGTTGGGTGCAGGCCTCATCGGAGGCTTGAAGGACAAGGCAGACTGGGGTCAGAAGTCTGGAGCAAACCAGTGTAGAGGCTGGAGCCCTGGGCTTGAGCCCCAGCAAGACTGGGGTATGGGCGACCCAGGGAAGTTGAAGAAGGTGATCAGAGCTGGCCCAGGCTGGGAGCCTGGCTGGGGGCTGGGCTGCCCGCTCACCACTCAGCTTTAGGCAGCCTCTGTCATCTAGCAGGATGTTCTCACACTTCAAGTCCCTGCGTGGGGAAGGGGAGGTGGGGCTGGACCTGGGCTCAGGCAGGTCTCCACGTGCTGGGCAGCGGGCTGGGTGGCACCCTCACCGGTGCACGATGCCTGAGTTGTGGCAGTGCGCCACGGCACTGACCAGCTGCCACAACAGCCTGCGGGCCTCCTCCTCCTCCAGTCCCGGGCAGCGGCGGTGAGCGGACACGGCATTGATGTGCTCCAGCAGGTCGCCGCGGGCCGCCAGCTCCAGCACCAAGTAGGTGCGCCGGCTGTTCTCGAAGGTCTCATACAGCTGCACCTGCCAGGCCCCGCCCCCCTTGCCGTCACCCCCAACCAGGACCCCCGGGTGCACGGGGCTGGGGTCTTGGGATGGGGCCGGCTCGAGCATAAGGGTCCGAGGAGGGGAAGGGGCAGGCCTGGGGTAGGTAGGAAGGGCCAGGCTGCCTGGGGTCTCTGCCCACCACGTTCAGGTGCTTGTAGGTAGCATTGAGTGATGAAATCTCACGGGGCAGGAACTTGCGGGAGAACTCCACAGGGGCCTCCGCGGTGGAGACGATCTTGATAGCCACCTGCAGGTGTGGAGGGTGGCCACTGTGCAAAAGCCACAACCCCCCTGGGGACAGGATGTGGTAGAACAGGCCCCGTGGCCTTTGTGCATATGGCTGAAGTTGACCAGGGCAAGGTTCGATGAGCAGCAGCCTTGCGAGACACCACTGACCTTCCCCCTCATCCTGTCCTGGTCACTTATGTGTTCAAGGGGTCCAGGAACTGGGAGGGATCAGACTGCCAGAGACTGGGCCTTCTGGAAGATGTGGGACTAGGAGGAAGCCAGAGCACCTAGGAGGTGTCTGGGTGGAGTTAGGACAGGGGTCACTGGGGCTGGGCTGGAGGGTGGACCATGGAGCCCCCACCCCTGAGGAGCAGGCGAACCTGCCTCACCATGGAGTGGCGCTTGCCCCGCAGGTCAGAGGCCAGCTTGGAGTTGTGCTGCATGCGCTCCTGCGTGGCGTAGGCCAGGTAGACTTTGGAGAAGGCCCCAGAGCCAATCTTCTTGAAGGACAGCAGGTAGCCCTTGTCCCTGCATTCATGCACCTGCTCCAGAAAGGCTCTCTGGTCCAGCTTCTGCCTGCCAGCAGCCTTCATAAAAATCAGGGCTCTGTGGGAGAGCTGGGGCTACCCAGCACCCCGCAGGGCTGTGGGGAGGGGCTCTGGGAGGTTCAGCTGAGGCCTGATTTGTGTTAGAGGGTTGGGTGATGGGTTGTAGACGGATGGAGCAATGTGCTGTGGAGCGATGGGGTGATGGACTGCAGGAGGCCAGCTGAGGCCTGCAGGCCCTCAAGGCTGCAGCCAAGTTTCTGAAGCCTCTCTGGGACAGGAGCAGAGATGGGAAGGGAGGCTAACACAGCCACACACCCATGGACTGGCACGGGGTTGGACAGGCTCTGGGAAAGCAGGGGCAGATTCTAGAATGGAAGGTTCTAGAGCTGTGCCTGCATTGTGCCCTCAAAGGGGTGTCATCCTATTCCCCAGGCATTGCTTGCCTGAGAACATCTTGCTGGAACCAGCCCTGCCCTGTGTGAGGCCCACTCCATGGGGTGAGAACCCTAAGGCCCACAAACAGCCTTTTTTTGGTTTTGGCTATGCTGCACGGCATGGGGGATCCTAGTTCTCCAACCAGGAACTGAACTCAGACCCAGCAGTGAAAGCACAAGTCCTAACCACTGGACTGCCAGGGAATTCCCGAAGTCACCCAACCTTCCTCTGCTGAGGCCTGCTGCGGGAGGCCATTCCCCCAGAGTGCTCTACACACTTGATGACATATCCCCAAGCAAATGAAAAGCCCTGGCCCACCTCAAAGAGGTGAGCCAGCATGCTTCTCCCTTCTCCTGGCCCCTGCAGTGCTCTGTGAGCGCTGTTACTTGGGGAGGAGCTGTGTTGCCTGCTGCCTGTGGGCGCTGTTCGAAGCTGCAACCACCACCTCCCACAATCCTGCTTCTGTGCACACCAAAGTGCCTGTCCTGTGGTAGGCAGTCCACACCCAGGATTTCAAATGTGAACATCACCGAGTGACGCCCCCTTTACAGACAAAACAAGTAAGGGCCAAGTTCATGGTCTCTCTTCTGTGGGTTGGACAGCATAGTGTCTGTGGACCAGTACTCCCTCTGCAAGGAATGCCTTGGAAAGCCTGGAAGGGAACTGTGGAGACATTTTCTCCTCCTTGTTGGACTGTGGGCCGCTTGAGGACAAGGCTTGTGTCTGATATCCCCTGGCTCACCCACAGCCCTTGTCTGGCAAATTGCCTAGAGGATAGAAAATATGGACAGATCAGCTGGTTTGTTGCTCCATGGGGGTTAGGAAGAGAGAAACTGGGTGTTTCAAGGGGAGAGAATTTAATTCGTGATGGTTACGAAGGTGTTACATGGGCTGGAGATGCGGGGAGCCTACACCGCCTCCCTGGCTCCCCCTCATTGAAGAACACAACTGGAAGCCAGTGACTGTTGCTCAGATAGGTGACAGGCAGGGTCCCGAGTGCTCCCCGGCTCTGCTCAGCCTCTTTCTCTGCACCCAGGGTCATCCATCTATCTCAGAGCATTGCTGAGCACCCCCCTGTGCTGGACTTGCTGCCAAGCCCTTGGGAGCCAGTCACAGGCACAGGCCTTTCTCACAGAGCTTACTGTTACAGAAGAGAGACTGCCCTTAATACTCTTTTTTTGAGGGGGAGGGGCCTCGCGGCATGCAGGGTTAGTTCCCCAACCAGGGATAGAATTTACGCCCCCTGCAGTGGAAACAGTCTTAATCACTGGATGCCCACCCAGGGAAGTCCCTGGCCTTAATAATTTAACAAAAGTGAATGATGCTGTGACCTGTGCCAGGGCAGTGTGTGTGCATGCTTGGGAGTGAAAAAGTTCAGCTGAGCTTGGGGAGGTCAGGACCAGTGCGGTGTCCTGGACCCTGGCCATGGGGGACATCGACCAGAGAGTGAGCCATCCAGGTATGAGCCTCCCTCTGGCAACTTCCATGGGCTCTGAATAACTGCCCCCCTTCCTGCCTATGAAGTACCTGAGGGGTGGTAGCTCTTTCTTGCGGGCCAGTCCCCATCTGCGGAGCAGCACGCTGTACCAGCCGTCTACAAGAGTTCTGTCCCTCTCTCTGCATTCTATCCTTAAGACAGAAGCAGGCTGCAGCCCTTCTCTCTGTGAAAAAAGAATCCCCACATCCCTGCTGTACTGCCCAGTGACCAACCTGCCCGCACGTTTAAACTGAGGCCACTTTGCCTCCTCGCACCCCTGCCCACAGATCCCTGCGGACCCAGTGAGATGCAGACAAGTTGTTTATGCCGTGGATGTACTGTTGCTGACTGGCCCTTTCTTCTCCAATCGCTTTTCCTTTCCTGAGCTTCTGGAACACCACTTGCTCCTTTCATTTTGGTCTGTGGGCACACCCAGGTGATTTCAGCTTCCTGGACTCTGCGGGGGCCCGTGTGTCTGTCCAGAACCTGGGCTCCTCTCCCAGCTTCTCTCTTTCTCAGCCCCCAGCTGCAGTTCTTCACAGCACTTTGTGCAACTTATGAATCATTGACTTGCTTGTTCTCTGTCTCCCTCTCCAGATCCCAAGGTCCCAAATGCATATACTTGCTTTTTTTTTATTTCAATCTTTTATTAAAGACCAATAAAGGATTTTTTATTTTTTTAAGTGTTTTATATTTTATTGAAGTATAGTTGATTTACAATGTTGTATTAGTTTCTGGTGTATAGCACTGTGATTAGTTATACATATATATTTATATTCTTTTCCATTACAGTTTATTAAAGGATATTGAATATAGTTTCCTCTGCTATACAGTAGGATCTTGCTGCTTATCCACTCTATATGCAATAGTTTGCATCTGTTAATCCTAAACGCCCACTCAACCCCTCCCCTTTGGCAGCCTCATGTCTGTTCTCTATGTCTGTGAGTTTGTTTCTGTTTCATAAATAAGTTCATTTATGTCATATCTTAGGTTCCACATATAGTGATATCATATGGTATTTATGACTTACTTTCTGACTATCTTTCTGACTTATTTCATTTAGTATAGTAATCTCTAGGTCCATCCATGTTACTGCAAATTATGTTATTTCATTCTTTTTTATTGCTCAGTAGTATTTCATTGTACATATGTACCACATCTTTATCCATTCATCTGTCAATGGATATTTATGCTGTTTCAATGTATAGGCTACTGTAAATAGTCCTGGGGTACATGTATCTTTTCAAATTATACTTTTCTCCAGATATATGCCTTAGAATGGGACTGCTGGATCATACAACTCTATTTTTAGTTTTCTGAGGAACCCCTTACTGTTTTCCATACTGGCTGCACCAATTTGCATTCCCACTAACAGTGGAGGAGAGTTCCCTTTTCTCCACACCCTCTCCAGCATTTGTTATTTGTAGACTTTTAAAAAAATTTATTCATTTTGCTGACTTGGGTCTTGGTTGCAGCATGTGGGATCTTCACTGTGGGCTCTGTAACTCTGCAGCATGTGGGATCTTAGTTCCCCAACCAGGGACTGAACCCATGTTTCTTGCGTTGCAAGGCAGATCTTTAACCACCTGACCACCAGGGAAGTCCCTAGAGTTTTTAGTGATGGCTATCCTGAGTGGTGTGGTACCTTATTAAAGTTTTGATCTGCATTTCTTGGGCTTCCCTGGTGGCTCAGGTGGTAAAGCATCTGCCCAGAGTGCGGGAGACCCGGGTTCGATTCCTGGGTTGGGAAGATCCCCTGGAGAAGGAAACGGCAATCCACTCCAGTACTCTTACCTGGAAAATTCCATAGACTGAGGAGCCTGGTAGGCTACAGTCCATGGGTCGCAAAGAGTCAGACACGACTGAGCAACTTCACTTTCACTTTTCTTTCAATAATTAGTGATGTTGAGCATCTTTTCATGTGCCTATTGGCCATCTGTATATCTTCTTTGGAGAAATGTCTGTTTAGGTCTTCTGTTCATGTTTTTTCCCCAGACTTTAAACTTTTTATTTTGTACTGGTGTATAGCCAATTCATGTTGTGATAGTTTCAGGTGTACTCTGCATATAAGTTAAGTAAGCAGGATGACAGTATATAGCCTTGATGTACTCCTTTCCCAATTTGAAACCAGTCCATTCTTCCATGTCCAGTTCTAACTGTTGCTTCTTGACCTGCACACAGATTTCTCAGGAGGCAGGTCAGGTGGTCTGGTATTCCCATCTCTTTCAGAATTTTCCACAGTTTGTTGTGATCCACATAGTCAAAGGCTTTGCTGTAGTCAATAAAGCAGAAGTAGATGTATTTCTGGAACTCTCTTGCTTTTTCAATGACCCTATGGATTTTGGCAATTTGATCTCTGGTTCCTCTGCCTTTTCTAAATCCAGCTTGAACATCTGGAAGTTCACAGTTCACGTACTGTTGAAGCCTAGCTTGGAGAATTCTGAGCATTAATTTGCTAGCGTGTGAGATGAGTGCAATTGTGCGGTAGTTTGAACATTCTTTGGCATTGTCTTTCTTTGGGATTGGAATGAAAACTGACCTTTTCCAGTCCTGTGGCTACTGCTGTGTTTTCCAAGTTTGCTGGCATATTGAGTGCAGCACTTTCTCAGCATCATCTTTTAGGATGTGAAATAGCTCAACTGGAATTCCATCACCTCCACTAGCTTTGCTCGTAGTGATGCTTCCTAAGGCCCACTTGACTTCACATTCCAGGATGTCTGGCTCTAGGTGAGTGATCACACCATTGTGGTTATCTGGGTCATGAAGATCTTTTTTGTATAGTTCTTCTGTGTATTCTTGCCACCTCTTCTTAATATCATGTGAAATGCCGGGCTGGACTAAGCACAAGATTGTTTAGTCCACTGGAATTAAGCACAAGATTGTTTAGTCCACTGGAATCAAGATTGCCGGGAGAAATATCAATAACCTCAGATATGTAGTTGACATCATCCTTATGGCCAAAAGCGAAGAGCTAAAGAGTCTTTTGATGAAAATGAAAGAGGAGAGTGAAAAAGTTGGCTTAAAACTTAACATTCAGAAAACTAAGATCATGGCATCTGGTCCCATCACTTCATGGCAAATAGATGGGGAAACAATGGAAACAGTGAGAGACTTTCATTTTGGGGGGCTCCAAAATCACTGCAGATGGTGACTGCAGCCATGAAATTAGAAGACGCTTGCTCCTTGGAAGAAATGCTATGACCAACCTAGACAGCATATTAAAAAGCAGAGACATTACTTTGCCGACAAAGGCCAGTCTAGTCAAAGCTATGGTTTTTCCAGTAGTAATGTGTGGATGTGAGAGTTGGACTATAAAGAAAGCTGAGCACCAAAGAATCAATGCTTCTGAACTGTGGTGTTGGAGAAGACTGTTGAGAGTCTCTTGGACTGCAAGCAGATCCAAACAGTCCATCGTAAAAGAAATCAGTCCTGAATATGCATTGGAAGGACTGATGCTGAAGCTGAAACTCCAATACCTGGGCCACCTGATGGGAAGAACTGACTCACTGGAAAAGACCCTGATGCTGGGAAAGATTGAAGGCAGGAGGAGAAGGGGGCAACAGAGGATGAGATGGTTGGATGGCATCACCGACTCAATGGACATGAATTTGAGCAAGCTCCAGGAGTTGGTGATGGACAAGGAAGCCTGGCGTGCTGCAGTCCATGGGGTCACAAAGAGCCAGACATGACTGAGTGGCTGAAATGAACTGAGTTTCAGGTGACCAGAGAAGAGACTCAGCCAGATACATATGTTGTCCCCCAAACCCACCTCCCATGCCGGCTGACATATAATATTGAGCAAAGTTCCATGTGCTCTACAATAGGTTCTTGTTGGTTATCCATTTTAAATATAGCAGTGTATATATGACCTTCCCAAAGTTCCTAACTCTCCCTTCCCCGCTGGCAACCATAAGTTTGTTTTCTATGAGTCTCTTTCTGTTTTATAAGTTCATTTGTATCATTTCTTCTTAGATTCCACATATAAGGGATGTCATACAATATTTCTCCTTCTCTGTCTGACTTACTTCACTCAGTATGACACTCTCTAGATCCATCCATGTTGCTGCAAATGGCATGATTTCATTCTTTTTAATGGTTGAGTAATATTCCACAGTATATATGTACCATATCTTCTTTTTTCCATTCCCTCTCGATGGATATTTAGGTTGTGTCCATGTCTTGGTTATTGTAAACAGTGCTGCAATAAACACTAAAATATCCTTTTAGATCATGTTTTTCTCCGGATATATGCTCAGGAATGGGATTGCAGGGTCATATGGTAGCTCTAGTTTTAGTTTTTAAAGGAACCTCCATACTGTTCTCCATAGTGCCTTTGCCCATTTATATACATATATATTTATATATATACACTGTATATATACATATATATATATATGTATACACACACACACACACACATTGAGTTCTACGACCTGTTTGTGTATTTTGGAAATAAAACTCTTGTTGGTCACATCATTTGCAAGTATTTTCTCCCATTATTTAGATTGCCACTTTGTTTCGTTTATGGTTTCCTTTGCTGTGCAAAACCTTGTGAGTTTGATTTAGTCCCATTTGTCTAGTTTTGGTTTTACTTCTAGTGCCTCAGAAGAGTGGCCTAAGAAAACATTGGTACCACTTAGGTCTGAGAACCTTTTCCCTGTGCTCTGCTCTGGTTTTATCCGTGCCTTCACATTTTGATTCCCAGGGTCTATTGGCAGACGAGATGTGTGCCTCGTGTGTGCAGGTGTGTACCTGTGTGTAGAGGGGCCTGTGGCCCTGGGCTCTCTGGGGTATTTGTTGGGTGTTCATGTGTGAGAGATATAGGGCATGACAGCTCCTGTGTGTGTCCAGGTCTAGCCCACCTGGCGTGTGTACCTGGACAGGTATGTGTTTGCAAAGGGACTGGCTTGGGTACATTGGTGCCCCAGGTATCTCAGGGTATGTGGGTCTGTGTCTGTGTGACAGGATCACTGTGGTGAGTCGGGCGGGGTCACAGAGAGGAGTGGCAAGCGGGCCCGGTCCCTCACCTACACAGTAACCTGCCACATCCCTTGAGGCCCATAGGGCGGTCAGACTGGCGCCCAACAGTCAGATGTGGTCACAAGGCGGCCGGGGGCGGTGCCGAGCGCGAGGCGGAGTTTGCGCACTCCTGCTCTCTAGGGTTCGGGGCGGTGGGCGGGGGGGTGGGGAAGAGAGAGAGAGCGAGAGAGAGAGAAAGAGAGACATGCTCTCTCGACCAATGAGCGCAGAGATCGCTTGGGGGCGGGGCCAAGTTACCGCGCGCCGGGCCGCGGTTGGCAGGGGGCGGGCTCGTCTCGTGGCCCCGCCCACTCCGGTCAGCGGCTGCAGGGAGGGCGGTGCCCCGGCCGCGGCTGCGGCGGCTCTTCAGGTAAAGGGCGGACAGGTCCCGGGGGTCAGGGCCGGCCGCGGTCACTCGGGGAGGTGCCCCTCGGGGAAGCCTAGGTCGCAGAACTTCGGGTCGCCCGCTTGGCCAGGCCGCCGCGGGAAACCGAGTCAGGGGGCGCCTCTCCAAGGTCACCAGGCGAGCGCAGGGACGGTCCCGGGCTTCGCGGGGCCGAGCCCGCCCTCTTCCCTGGGCTCAGGTGCGCCCTGCCCCGCGCGGAGCAGGATTTGCCGCGTCACAACCCGGAAGAGCGGCCTGGGAGCCCAGCCGCTCACTTTCTTCCTCGCCCAGCGTGCGGAGCGCGTTCTCCGTGCCCGGCCCCTCCCAAGGTGGGACTCGGGGTGCTCGGCCCCCGTGCCTGGCCCCGCCCTGAGGGGCGTTCAGTTTGTCACTTTTCGGAGGCCTGTGGTCCACCTCCTTGCTTCCCCAGGGGAAGAACGGGGATCCTCTGTGGGAAACTCATCTTAAACCCGAGGGCCCCAAAGCGCGGGGACCATTGTATTCTTTCTGCTTTCTCTCTGGCGTGAGAGGAGGAGGCGGTCCAGAGCCGGGAGGTAATGTGTTCTCAGTCTCGAGGATTACTGGTCGTGCCCTGTAGGCGTGAAGCTGGAGAGGTTGCGGGAAATTCCGCTCTAAATCCGGGTGAGAGCTCAGAGGTGCTCGGCCACGGCTGGCCACCAGTCCCTGGACTCTAAGGCCCAATTTTGGGTTCTGGTTTTCTGTAGCGCCAACTGAGCTGCGGTGCAACCCTAGGGCCTGATAAGAGGGCACTGTGGGCATGGCGGTTCCCATTTGCACACTTTACAGAGGTGCCCCTTTGCCAGCCCAGCGGGGTAGGGTAGGGGCGGACTGGAAAGCTCAAGGGCGATGAGGCACAAAGGGTTGTAGGGGGCAGAGGGGACTGTTGTGGCACTGTTAGCTGGAGTGGTTGTCTGCTGCGGGGCCAGTCAGGGTTGGGGTGGAGGCTGGCTTGAGGGGACCACTTTGGAAAGGGAGGTGGTAGAGGTGAAGAAGGTGAGTCACTGTAGGGTGTGGGGACGGAGGTGGAGGAACAGGAAGGGGTGATGCTGCTTCTGACCTGAGAGCTAAGTGCATGATGACACAGAAGAGGCAAGTGAGGTGTGGGTCGGGGAGGGGTCGGGTGACAGTGGTGTTGGAGCTGTTGGGTTTGTGGTGATGATGGTCCAGGTGGAGATGGCCAGCAGGCCCTGGGCCCCAGGAGACCTATGTGGGAATCATCTGGTGGGACACTTGAGTGGTGCAGGATTGTGATGTGGTCACCCTTCTGATCCTGACAGCCAGAGGGCCTGGGAATGCGAGTGTCAACAGGGCTTTTGGCCGCCACGACTCAAGTGAGCACGCGCCTCAGGTCTCTCTTTGTTGCCAGAGTGGAATGACAAAGTTGAGCTGTCTTGGTTACCTTGAAATCAGTGTCCAGGCTGATGTGGATTGTTGTTGGTGCATCTTACTCCACCACGACTGCCTGCTGAGGGCCCCAGTAGATCAGAGGTGGAACCCTGGGGTGCTTGCTTGCTCCCTGGAGCTCATAGCTGCCGCCTATGCCTAGAGGCAGGTATCTGTGCTTAGTTCAGACCCAGGGTCCATCGTGGCGCCAGTGAGCAGCCCAGATTGCGTGAGCCCTTTCATGGAGCAGAGTTACTTGACCTTCTTGAGGCAGGCACTCCAGGAGAGTCCCTGCTATTGTTCAAGGGATGCTGGCTGCTGGGCGTCTTGAGACGTGTGCTTTCCTCACGGAGCCGGAGGGCCAACCACTTCTGAGGGGTGACACCGCTGGTGTGGCTTACATTGAGAATCAGTGCTCTCCAGGAGCTGTGAGCAGTGAGCTGTGGACTGTGTTTTCCAGGTCTTCTGCCCCGGTTCTTGTTGGTAACTGGAAGTTGGTTCCTGCTCTGGCTCCTGTTCTGGGAGGGAAAGACCCTGGGCCTGGTGGGGCGATCTTGTGACCCCCCCTGGGCCTTCTGACTTCCTAGTCTCCCCTCACACACCTACCTCCAGTTCCTGTTGCCTCTGGGCTGGGAGGTGTGTGACCCTCCTTGGTCTCCCACACCCCATTTTGAGCCCCATCCAGCTCAGTGAAGTGGTCCTGTACCACTGTTAGGTTTGTCAGCCCATGTGGAAGTTGAAATAGTAGGTGTTTTTCAGGCCAGGGGCTGTACCTGGTGGGCATTTACTAAATGTCATTGACTCAATGCTGACTACTGGTGAGCATGGGGGAGGGGGAAGCTGCTTCCTCACTGGCCCACAGTGTGTCCAGTGCAGGGAGGGAAGGCCCTGATGGCTCTGCCCTGTGCCATGTGCCAGGAGCATCAGGGTGGGCAGGTGGCCAGGTATGGAGGGGAGTGTGGGAGCCAGTCCTGGTGGAGTCCTGCCCCACCGCTGACCAGCTGCTCACAGTGTGCCCCTCTTGGACCTACTTGGCCATGCAGATTGAGGAGATGGTGCCTCTAAGGTGCTTCCCATGGGACGCAGGGGACCTCCTGGGCCCTCCCCTGTCTGTATGCCCCCTTCTTCTGTGGTGGTTTCACCTGGCTTTGCCATCAGCACTGTGCTCACAGGTCAGTCAGCTCCACAGACCTCCTGGCCTGGGGCAGGGGCCGCAGGTGGAGACCTTCGAAACCAGTCAAGTCCAGGTAATCTGTATTTACCTGTCTACCACTTTTTTCCAGTGCTTGTTTTTTCAAATCTAACCAGATCCCTGATTGACATGTGTTTTGTGTGTGTGTTTTTTTTTTGCCAGGAAAATCTGACTTTTTATTTCTTAAATACTGTGAAGGAAGGAGGGGGGAAATGGTCCCCTGATGATGGAGGGCCATGGAGCAAAAATATGGAATGCTTCACAAATTTGCATGTCATCCTTGCACAGCGGCCATGCTGATCTTCTCTGTATCGTTCCAATTTTAGTATATGTGCTGCCGAAGTGAGGACGACATATGTGTTTTTTATGACACTGTGGGCTTCTGTAGATGGGTATTGGAAGGTGGATGATCCCATCACAGAGTGCGACCATTCAGGCTTGTAGGAAACACTCCACAGGCTCTGCTGGCTGTCCCCACCTATGTGTGGCCACTGCAGGCCGCGCTACCCGCCCCTCAGTCCTGCGGGGCAGTGGGGGAAAGTGGTGGTGCACGGAAAGCGGAGTCCCGGGCTGCTGGTCTTCTTTGTGCCGCCTGTCTTCCTGTTTGTCTTGTTGATGTGGGTGCACTTCTGTGCATGTTAATGTTAGACAGATTAGGCTCTTGTCATACCTATAATGAATGATTTGACCCATTTTGTCTTTCATTTACTTTATGCTCTATTGAGGATGGAGTGAGGTCTGAGAGTGTACGATTGTGGGCATAGGTGTATGTATGGATGTGGTCTTGAGTTTGTGTATGCTTCTGATTTTCAGAAATTAAAAAATTTCATATAGTCCAACTGAAAGCTTTCATTAAGGTGTGTGGAGTTTTGTGTCTGGCTTAGAAAACCCTTCCCTACTCTAAGACTTTAAGATATGTCCTTGTATTTTCTACTTAGGATTACATTTACTTTTTACATGTGATGCTTATATCCATCTAACATTTATTTTGGGGTAAGGAAAGATGTAGGGAAAACTAATTTTTTCCCCTGAGGTTCTACCAAGCTGTTCCTACACTATTTGTTGGCAATTTCCTTATTATTTAAATTTTTCCCTTTTTATTCCTTTTTGGTGTTTATTTCTGACTCTCCGTACAGTTCTGTTGATTTGTGTGTCTCTTATAACAAAGGCATAGTTTTAATTATGGCAGCATTTTAGTACATTTTAACATAACATAAAATGGACTGGAATGGGAAAATTTAATTCAGATGACCATTATATCTACTGCTGGGCAAGAATCCCTTCAAAGAAATGGAGTAGCCCTCATAGTCAACAAAAGAGTCCAAAATGCAGTACTTGGGTGCAGTCTCAAAAATGACACAATGATCTCTGTTCATTTCCAAGGCAAACCATTCAGTATCACAGTAATCCAAGTCTATGATCCAGCCACTAATGCCCAAGAAGCTGAAGTTGAATGGTTCTATGAAGACCTACAAGACCTTCTAGAACTAGCACCCAAAATAGGTGTCCTTTTCATCATAGGTGACTGGAATGCAAAAGTAGGAAGTCAAGAGATACCTGGAGTAACAGGCAAATTTGGCCTTGGAGTACAAAATGAAGCAGGGCAAAGGCTAACAGAGTTTTGCCAAGAGAACACACTGGTCATAACAAACACCCTCTTCCAACAATACAAGAGATGACTCTACACATGGACATCATCAGATGGTCAATACTGAAATCAGGTTGATTATATTCTTTGCAGCCAAAGATGGAGAAGCTCTATACAGTCAGCAAAAACAAGACCGGGAGCTGACTGTGGCTTAGATCATGAACTATTTGTTGCAAAATTCAGGCTTAAATTGAAGAAAGTAGAGAAAAGCACTAGACCATTAAGGTATGACCCAAATCCAGTGCCTTACGATTGATTATACAGTGAAATTCAGAAAGATTCAAGGGATTAGATCTGATAGAGTGCCTGAAGAACTGTGGGTGGAGGTTCATGATATTGTACAGAGGCAGGGATCAAGACCATTCCCAAAAAAAAGAAATGCAAAAAGGCAAAATAGTTGTCTGAGGAGGCCTTACAAATAGCTGAGAAAAGAAAAGAAGTGAAAGGCAAAGGAGAAAAGGAAAAATAATCCCACTCTGAATGCAGAGTTCCAAAGAATAGCAGGGAGAGATAAGAAACCCTTCCTCAGAGATCAGTGCAAAGAAATAGTGGAAAATAATAGAATGGGAAAGACTAGAGATCTCTTCAAAAAAGTTAGAGATACCAAGGGAACATTTCATGCAAAGATGGGCACAATAAAGGACAGAAATGGTATGGACCTAACAGAAGCAGAAGATATTAAGAGGAGGTGGCAAGAATACAGAGAAGAACTATACAAAAAAGATCTTCATGACCTGGATAACCACAATGGTGTGATCACTCACCTAGAGCCAGATATCCTGGAGTGCAAAGTTAAGTGGGCATTAGGAAGCATCACTACGAACAAAGCTAGTGGAGGTGATGGAATTCCAGTTGAGCTATTTCACATCCTAAAAGATGATGCTGTGAAAGTGCTGCACTCAGTATGCCAGCAAATTTGGAAAACGCAGCAGTGGCCACAGGACTGGAAAAGGTCAGTTTTCATTCCAATCCCAAAGACAGGCAATGCCAAAGAATGTTCAAACTACCACACAATTGCACTCATCTCACACGCTAGCAAAGTAATACTCAAAATTCTTCAAGCCAGCCTTCAACAGTACGCAAACTGTGAACTTCCAGATGTTTAAGCATTTAGAAAAGGCAGAGGAACCAGAGATCAAATTGCCAAAATCCGTAGGATCATCAAAAAAGCAAGAGAGTTCCAGAAAAATATCTACTTCTGCTTTATTGACTACACCAAAGCCT